CCGGGCGGGCGCCCCCTGAGGCGGCGCGGGCAGTTCGGGGACTCGCCTCGGTGGGTGAAAAGGGGGAGCACGGGGTCCGGGTCTTGAGGTGGAGACTCAATCGCGACGGGTTTGCTCGGAAAAGCCCACGCCCTCGGGGTGTCTCCCGCCGAGACGCCGCCAGCCCCGGGCAGTGGGGGGCGTCCCTCCCGCCGCCCCCCAACGCGCTCCCCGGAGATTCGAACTCAGGTCCCACGTGGCTCCGCTGACTTGAACCCCATCTTCCGGGCGAAAGAATTAACCAAGTTTCCCCCCCAAAAAACAACCAAGGGGACCCGCAGCGCTCTTCACATTAAGGGGCTGTCGGTCTAAAACAGTAAATATCGGGCGCCCCGTCATTCCTAAGGGAGGGCTTTCTGGGGCCACCCAAGGGCTCAGGGAGGCGGCTCCCCTCCGGCGGGTCGGGGTTCGAGGATTGCCCACCCTGTGCCACTGCCCCGGGCCTGGTCGCACCCTCACAGGCACTGCTTCCGTTCCTTCCCGACACCCGGGGGAACCCATGCGCCTTCAGTGCCCATTTCCCACTTTATTTTAATTTTATTTATTTTATTTTTTTTGGGTTTTTTTGTTTTGTTTTGTTTTTTGTTTTGTTTAGAGCAGTGGTTCCCAAACTTATTTGGCCTACCGCCCCCTTTCCAGAAAAAATATTACTCAGCGCCCCCTGGAAATTAATTTTTAAAAAATTTTAATAGCAATTAAACAGAAAGATATATGGATTAATGTATCTACCTTTTTTGTAAAATATAGTAAAGAAAGGTGTAAATTAGAAACATTGAAGTTTGAAATTATGAAACTATTTATTGAACTCAGAATAGAAAGGTAATACCTTTTTTGTAAAATATAGTAAAGAAAGGTGTAAATTAGAAACATTGAAGTTTGAAATTATGAAACTATTTATTGAACTCAGAATAGAAAGGTAATACAAAAAAAGTTAAAACAAATGCACCTGTGGCCATCACCGCCCCCCCTGGATCGCTGCAGCGCCCACCAGGGGGCGGTAGCGCCCACTTTGGGAATCACTGGTTTAGAGGAAGGGAGAGGGAGAGAAACATTAATGATGAGAGAATCATTGGCTGCGTTCTGCACGTCCCCTCCTGAGAAAACTACATTACCCAGAGGGGAATGTGCCCCGTTTTGGGGAGGTCAGGGTGGGACTTCCTGTGCCCTCCTCAGAAGCTTCATATTTGCCTTTCAGGGTGGTTCACCAAGTCAGAGGCTCCAAAGCAACAGGCCGTGGTGGGGAAGTGCCAGAGGGTCGTCCCTGCCATGCTGAGGCGGGTCCGAGACTTGCTGAGCCGCTACTGTTGGGGTTCAGGCCTTCCAGCCTCACAGACTGGGCTCTGCCCACAGAGTTTGATGGCTGTGGCAGCGCCAAGGCGCCGGGCTGAGGTGAGCACGTCCCCGCTTCCCCCACCCAACCCTGCAGCCCGGGCCCCACCTCAGGACCGGGAGGCGTTACTGGGTGACACCGGTGTGACGGGGGTGGGAGAGGGTGAGGGGCCACCGGGTGAACAGGTGCAGGGGCTGCTAAGCTGGAAGATTCGGGAAACCTGGGCCCTGTTTTGTTTCTAAAGGCAACAGAGAAAGTGAGGCAGAGGTGTGCGTGAGGAGTGTTACTTTTATTCTCACGGCGCCGGGCCATGGATGGATGTGAACAAAACAGGGACATTGTGTGAGGCAGGGATTCTCAAGTTTTCCCAAAACTTCCCAGAGGATGAACAGACTAGAAGGGAGGGGCCAGCAGGAGGGGCGGGAAGGAGGACCCTGTAGGTGATGAGGTCACTGGCAGTTGCACACTGGACTGACCGCTGAGGGCTGCGGGCATCACCCGGCCCTGGGGCTGGGCCAGGCCCTGAGCAGCCTGAGCCCCTGGGTCCTGGGGTGGGTGCCAGGCCCTCAGCCCTTTAGTTCCCACCGGTTCCTGCGGGTGCAGAGCTGCTGAGGGGACGGGGCTGTGGGGCTGATTTCAGGGTCTCACATTCCTGTGGCCTCTGAGGTCGTGGGGTCCTGGGGCTGTCCAGCCTCTCTTCCAGCTCGTAGGCCTGGGGATCTTGAACAGACACCAAGGCCAGAATCCTAAGTCGAGGTCTAGGGTTATAGGATGTGGTCCCTCTTTTGGCAACAAGTGGAATGAGATGTGAGAGGTCCTCCCAGGCACAGGGGCCAGAATGTGCAATGGCTTAGAGGGGACACTGAGCAAGTTCTGGAACCTGCAAGTGTCCTTTCTTCCCATGGGAACTGGGGGCAGTGGGAGAGGAGTCAGGTCTAGAGCAGCTTTGTAACAAGTTGAGTGTTTGTTCTGCCGGTGATGGGTGCCTGGGGCAGTGGAGGCAGGTGATCTGACCCAGGTCTCGTGAGAATCCATGTGGCTGCAGCTTAGAATGAACAGGGAGGAGGCTGCTGCAATAGTCGGAGTAATTGTGATGGTGTCTGGGCCAGGGTGGTGGCCATGGAGGTGAGAGAAGCATTGTGATTATAAGTTAGGGTTTTGAGTGAAGATGCCAGGATTTTTTTTAAAGCTTTATTTACTTATTTTAGGGAGATAGGGACAGACAGACAGACATTGATTTGTTCTATTTATTTATCCGTTCATGGATTGATTCTTGTATGTGCCCTGATGGGAGATTGAACCCCCAACCTTGGTGTATGGGGCCCGACGCTCCGCCCAACTGAGGAAACCGAAACCGGCCAGGGTGCCTTCTGCATTTTCTTTTTTTTAAATATTTTTGATTGATTTTAGCGAGGAAGGGAGAGGGAGAGAGAGATAGAAATATCAATAATGAGAGAGAATCATTGATTGGCTGCCTCCTGCACGCAAGCGAGTCCGCAACCCAGGTATATGATTGGAATCGAACCTGGGACCTTTCAGTTTGCAGGTCAACATTCTATCCACTGAGCCAAACCAGCTAGGGCTGCATTTTCTAATTTTAAGGTTGACATAGAGAGAGGTAGGAGCCAGGGATGACATGAAGGTTTGGAGGAAGTGAAGCACCTCAATTTAGATGGCGAAACACACTGAAGGAAGAGCAGTATTCATTGAGGGTATCGGGAGTTTTATTTTTGGCCTGATGAGGGTATGAGATTTTTGAGAGCGAGTTCATAGGTGTCTGGAGTTCTGAGGAGGTGTTCAGGATGGCGACTTCTCCAAAAGGAAGTGGAGAGTGTGTGGACCCTGGAGGAGCTGCAGCTCACGTTAATATGGGGAATCCTGGTCGGAATGTTAAGGGTAATAGCCCAGGATGAGGAGCGTGGGCCTGAGGACTGGGTTCCTGCTGGAACCCTGGTTGTGGGAAGTGGGTGTCACAATGTAAGTGACAGACAGAAGTGGTCATGTGGAGGGTGAGGGAGAGACTGGTTTGGCAAGTGGACAAGGCCTCCAAGGGACGAGGGATGTGGAACAGATGAGGGTGGAAGAGTAACTCACACACGATGAGAGGAGGGCTGGTGCATATTCACTGCTTTCAAGACTCTCCAGAACATTGGTATGGCCCTTGGTGTGGCTGGGGTGTGGCCGTCAGGTTGGCTGTTAGCTTAGGGGCACATGTGATCATCTGGAAGACTCACTGGGCACAGGCTAGAGGGCCCTCGGGCTGGGCCTGGTGTGGGGTGAGGAGAGGGGAGGCTGTGACTGTGCAGGGACATGAGGTGCAGCACCAGTGGGGAGGCTGTGGGCACCTGAGAGCCCATGTGACGTGGGAACAAGGAACAGTCAGGAGGGCGGCCCTCGGGGCAGGACTCCGGCCGCCTCTGTGATGTGGACCATCAGTCCGGGCAGTGCTCGATCCTCTTAGAGTTTTCCAAACATTCTCTGGACCCCATCTGCTGAGCAGTGAAGAGAGAGGCCAAGGAGATGATGTGGTGCCGAACAGGAGGGGCCGGGCGGTGGGAGCGCAGGCGGGAGAGGTGTGGTCGGGACAGTGATGTGCACGTGGAGAGGGCGTGTGAGCTCATGGCCACAGGGCCCTGGCATTGACATGAGAGTGAATGAAGGGCGAGCCCGTGTCTGTCGTATTTGGTGGAAACGCAATGTGGCTCCCCGGGGAGTTGCCTGGAAGGAGGGGGTGTGGTCCTCCATGCCAGGCCCAGAACTTTGATGTCATTTATGTCCCTTCCTGCCTTTTGTTGAGGGCGGATATAGTGATCAGTAGGGCCTCGATGAGATAGCAGACCTCAGTGCCACCCAGGCTTGGAAATCTCCCCTGGCATAGGGAAGGGAGAAGGAGAAGCAGGGGCTGGATTAGGGAGGTGGTAAAATTATAATCCTGGGAAAGAAGCGAATCATGGAAAAATTGTCCCTGTCAGGGCATGTTTGACTTTCCTTTAAAGCTGTGCTGCTGGGAATGTAGCTGTGAGAGAGAGGTGTGATACACATAATTATGTGCGGAGGGTACTGTAAAGGGAAGGGATTTGGGTCGCCAGGGTGAAGGGTGATGCCATGGTTTTTATGTATTGGAGGGACACTGGACTCACAGGTATTGCCTGACAACTTGAGTGTCTCATCACTCACACTCTCTGTGGCCAACTTCTCTGTATGTTTGTGACACCCACTGTGTTAACAAGGGGCAGTGTGGCCTACATGCCACGCGCAGAACTGTTATCTCTCTGCCCCTCTGCCTGTTATTGTGGGAGGACACAGTATCAATGGGAATATAGAAGTGAGTGACTCCAATGATAGCAGGGTTTGGTGTCATTGATGTGGAAGGAGGGAGCAGATGGATGTGGAGACTGAGTGGTATGAGGAATGTAAAATCCTAGGAGTGAAGCTGGTCATGAACTGAATTGTCACCATTATTACAGGATATGGACTTTGAGGACGTGGCCATTGCCTTCTCCCAGGAGGAGTGGGGGCTCCTTGATGAGGCTCAGAGACTGCTGTACTGCGAGGTGATGCTGGAGAACTTTGCACTTGTAGCATCTGTTGGTAAGACCTTCACACTACTCATGTCCTAGGTCAGTGATGGCGAACCTTTTGAGCTCGGTGTGTCAGCATTTTGAAAAACCCTAACTTAACTCTGGTGCCGTGTCACATACAGAAATTTTTTGATATTTGCAACCATAGTAAAACAAAGACATATTTTTGATATTTATTTCATATATTTAAATGCCATTTAACAAAGAAAAATCAACCAAAAAAATGAGTTCGCGTGTCACCTCTGACACGCGTGTCATAGGTTCGCCATCACTGTCCTAGGTTGTGGCCTCCCTTTCGTTTTTCCTCCTGAAGTAGCTTAGTCCCTCAGCCAGACCATGGGCTCTGCTAATTTCCGCACTTCATTGTCATACGTGCTGTGGCTGCTTGTGCTGTGTTGTGTGGTGTGAGTGCCCTCTGCCGGGAACACTGAGCATCCCTTACATCTGTTGCCTCAAAAAGTTCAGAGAATGGGCCTCGGCTCAGACAGCCCAGTACATGCCCCGTCTTCACCCTCTGCCTGGAAGGGTGACTCTGCCCAGATTCATGGCTTCTGGTTCTGGCCCCTTCTGTTAGCTAACAATCCTTTGTGACTTCCTGTGCCAGGTCATGGTCATTCTTTATATGAACCATGGACTGTACTTGTCAGATCTACCTCAATTGTTTGTAATATTGTCTTCCCTGAACACTATCGTATGTCAAGTTGGCTCTGGGCCAGTAGTGGCTGCTTACGTGTGTTGTCTGTCATTAAGACTTGGATCATTCAGGTTCTGAGTAGTTGTTTCATTGAAGGTGCAGGGAGAACCCTGCTTCTATCACAGGCTGTACATAGAAAGATGGTCTCAGGAGAAGGCTGGCCCTGGTGAGTGGCAGCTGGGCAAGAGCCTGACCTAAGGGCTGTTCCAATCATGCCCGGATTCTGCTTGTGTCCGATAGTGTTGTGGTGCAAGTGCCCCTGCTCACAGCACATTTCCATTTTTTCTTTCCCATATTTGATCCTTTGATAACTTGTCATTTCATCGGTGACTTCTCAGCTTCTGGCTCCCTTCCCCTCTGTGGTCTCCCAGCATCAGCTGTTCCTCTGCACTGGTTCCTCTGGCATATGTTCCAGCATTGACCTCTGCATATGTTATGAGGTGTGCATGTGTCATTAGCAAGTGCATAGACACCAGCTTCTCACTTCCTGAATTTTACTGGGGGTAAAACATAACCAACCTTCTGGACAGCTTGCCCATTTCACCCTTAGACAAGCCCTTCTGAATGCTTTCAGCAGAAGAATTAGTTGGAGATGCTGTTTCTATTCCATGTGGTTGCCTGCCATGTCTGTGTCCTTTTCCTGGGGAGGTCTCCCCTATTTTGTGATCTTCAGAAGCCCAGTACTGCACAGCAGCACGTTATTCAACCTACCTCCAGGGCTCTATTTTCAGATGATCTCACGAAACCAAAAACCAAGATCCCATGAAACCAACATACGGAGTCTGACAAACCTTAGTAATGGGACTTGCTCCTCCCACTACAGCCAACACCGTTACCTCAGCATTTCTTTGCTTTCAGGTTGTTGGCATAAAAGTGAAGATGAGACCTCTTCCAAGCAGAGTGTATCTGTAACAGCAGAGTCACAGGTCAAGGCTTCTAAGACAGCTCTACCAACCCAGAAGACCCATCTTTGTGACCGGTGTGTCTCAGTCTTAAAAGCTATTCTGCACCTGACTGAGTCACAAGCAGCAGACTTTGAGCAGAAAGCCTTCAGTGATGCGTGTGTGAGAGACTCCTGTTTCAGCGCAAACCCTCACCAGCAACAGAGAGAAGCCAGTGGAGAGAAGCCTTGGAACGAAGCTGTGGACTGGGCCTCGTTGCTGACCAGGTGCAGCTTCTATGCATCACAGAAGCCTTTCACGTATAGGGAGGTAGAGGAGGATTTCCCAGCCATCGCAGGCCTTCTTCAGCACCAGGACACTCTTCATACTGAGGAGCCACACAGTGGCCCTGAGAGTGGGCAGGCCGTTCTTAGTGGAAAACATCATCACGAGTGGGGTGAGTGTAAAATGGCTGCCTTCCACAACCAGAACCTTGTTCAACAGCAGAGCGTCTGCCCTGGAAAAGGGCGTTTTGAGTGTCGCAAATGTGGGAAGGCCTTAGGAGACTTCACAGGTCATAGGAGACTTCACACTGGACAGAAGCCTTATGAGTGTGGTGATTGTCCGAAATCCTTTAGCCAAAGCTCTAGCTTCATTCAGTACAACAGAGTTCACACTGGAGAAAAGTCATATGAGTGTAGTGATTGTGGGATGTCCTTCAGCCATAGGTCTAAGCTCATTGAACACCGGAGAGGTCACACAGGTGAAAGGCCTTATGAGTGTCGTGAATGTGGGAAGTTTTTTAGACGCAAAGATTACCTCCATAACCACGAGAGAGTTCACACCGGAGACAAGCCGTATGAATGTAGTGATTGTGGGAGATGCTTTCGCTATCAAAATGGACTCATTCAACATGAGAGAATTCACACTGGAGAAAAGCCATATGAGTGTAACTATTGTGGAAAGTCCTTCAGCCAGAGCTCAACACTCCTTGAACACCACCGAGGTCACACTGGGGAAAAGCCTTATGAGTGTAGTGTTTGTGGGACATCTTTCAGCAGAAGGTCTGCCTTCACTCGACATCAAAGAATTCACACTGGAGAAAAGCCATATGAGTGTAGTGATTGTGGGAAATGCTTTAGATATAACAGTGGACTCGTTCAACATCAGAAAATTCACACTGGAGAAAAGCCATATGAATGTAGTGATTGTGGAATGTTCTTCAGCATTAGGTCTAAGCTCATGGAACATCACAAAGGTCACACTGGAGAAAAGCCTTATGAGTGTAGTGAATGTGGGAAGTTTTTTAGACGCAAAGCTAACCTCCGTATTCACCAGAGAGTTCACACTGGAGAAAAGCCTTATAAGTGCAGTGCATGTGGGAAAACCTTTGGACAAAGCAATATCCTCCTCCAACATATGAAAGTTCACACAGGAGAAAAGCCATATCAGTGTACTGATTGTGGGAAGTCCTTCAGCCGTAATTCTATCCTCATTGATCACCAGCGATGTCACACTGGAGAAAAGCCTTTTGAGTGCAGTATTTGTGGGAAATGCTTTAGACTACGCAGCAGTCTTAGTTATCACCATCACGTTCATTCTGGAAAAAAAGCCTTATGACTGGTGAATGTGGGAATTCCTATAGCAATACTTGTGGCCTTGTTCTTCACCAGATAGTTCACACCGGAGAAAAACCATATGGATGTTGTGATTGTGGAAAATGCTTTAGTTATAAACATAGACTCATTCAACATCAAAGCACTCACAGTGAAGAAAAGCCATATGAGTATAGTTATTGTCGAAAGTCATTCACAGAAAGGTCTCAGCTCAGTAAACACCGCAAAGGTCACACTGGTGAAAGGCCTTATGTGTGTAGTGTTTGTGGGAAGTCCTTCGTGACAACCTCTCTCCTCATTGAACACCAGCGATGTCACACTCGAGAAAAGCCGTGTGAGTGTAGTGAATGTGGGAAGTTTTTTTTTTTTTAAATATATAATTTTATTGATTTTAGGGAGGAACAGAGAGGGTGAGAGAGAGAAACATCAAGGTTGAGAGAGAACCATGGATTGGCTGCCTCCTGCACGCCCCCTACTGGGGATCAAGCCAGCAACCTGGACATGTGCCCTTGATCGGAATCGAATCTGGGACCCTTCAGTCTGCAGGCTTACTCTTCTATCCACTGAGCCAAACCGGCCAGGGCAAATGTGGGAAGTTTTTTTATAGGAAGCTCTATCCTTTTCCAACACTACAGAGTTCACTCTGGAGAAATGCCTTTGCAATGTAGTGATTGTGGGAAATTCTTTAGACAATGTTCCAACCTGATTCAACACTGGAGAGTTCAATCTGGAGAAAAGCCTATGGGTGTACTGGATGTGGGGATTCTTTTAGACTCAAATCTAACCTCTTTAGACACTAGAATGTTCACACTGGAGAAAAGCTTTAAAGATGCTGGGATGTTGGGAATGTTTCATTTCCTCAGTCATAACAACACTGGAGGAGACCGAGAACCATTTACTTGAAATTTTTTTAGCGAAACTGCTAGATTCCTCATATGCTTTGCGTACAAATGTTTTTAACTCTCTATCCCTCTCCCTTCCTCTCTGTAAAAAATCAATAAAACATATTTTAAAAAAAATCACAAGGACAAACTCTAGACAGAGTAGGCATGTTCCTACCTGAACCCGTTTTCGCACATGGTCAGTTATATGTTGCTTTCTCTCGAGTTCGAAGAGCATGTGACGTTAAAGTTGTAAATAATTCATCAAAAGGGAAATTAGTCAAGCACTCTGAAAGTGTTTTCACTCTTAATGTGGTGTACAGGGACATATTAGGATAAGTTTACTCACTTTATTAGTCATTGTTGGCATAACTTGTTTTTATATGATGTTTTTGTTTTCATATCATGTTTTTGTTTTTATATCATGCCTCTGTTATATCCTTTTGTTACTGTTTATTAATAAATTTATATATTCTCATACATTTTAGTGATTTCCTTTCATCTCTCACACTTCTATTATAGAGAAAGGTCAAATAGCAATATTAAAATATTTCCTCTAATTCCCTTTTTTTATTTTTTTTCTCTAATTCTCTTTTAATGTGCATGAATTTCATGCACCGGGCCACTAGTTTTTAAATGAAATGTGAACATTGAGTACAGCAGTATTTAGCAGGAGTTCAAAGGTTAGCTTTTTATACCATTTCATGGGTTTTCGTAACGGATTATTATAGACACTCATTTGATCAGATATATCAACTGCTGCTTTTCCTACGTTATAATCCACTACAATTTTTGGTTTCAAGAAGTGACATCTGTTTTCAGCGTTCACCATCTCTGACGTATGTTTTGTTGAGAGAAGATACATTATAACATTAGTTGGTGTCGTATTTTCTTTTTCTAAACTTTTCCCTGCATATACAGCGCTAAATGGAAAGGAAGACAAAAACAGGCTTGGCGCTTAATGTGTTAATTTTGTTGGTTCTGTTCACTTTGCGGGATGCTTTGAAAGGATAATTGTCATCTGTCAGCATGTGGAGCTGAAGAGATGTGGGGCTGCTAAAATTTCTATGCTGCTTAAGGGACAGTAGGATGTCAGAAGACTGCTCTTTGTTTAACATTGCCTTACTGCATTGCTGCCCAAAGCCTTCAATGTAAGACTATGACTCTGGCCCCTAATCTGCAAGATTATTGTGGAGGTCATAGGTCACCTTGAAGAGGAGGCCTTTGTTGTGTTTCTGTAAACATGAATTTTATTAGAGGCCCGGTCCATGCAATTCATGCACGGGTAGGGTCCCTAGGCCATGGCTGGGGCCTGCCTTCCCTGGCTGCTGGTTGCCAGCTGGGGCCTTCCTTCGTTGCACACCGCCCCCTGGTGGTCAGTGCACCTCATCATGAGTGACCAAACCCTAGGTGTCCTGGTCGAACTGAGGGAAGGCTTTTATATACAGTATATAGGTTGCTTTGTTCACAGTACATATTAAATAGTGCCCAGCAACCTTGAGGCAGTGATGTAGAAAATTTCATAGGCTGGTGCTTTTTTTCTTGTAGGACTCTGAGGATTAGGTGGAAGCACAACTGGAACAGAAACACTGTATTATTAGTGAGTGGAAAACTGCAGTAGCCTTAGCCAGCTTGGCTCCGTGGACAGAGCATTGGCCAGCGGACCAAAGGGGCCCAGGATCCATTCTGCTCTAGGGCACATACCTCAGTTGCAGGCTCTTCCCCAGCCCAGGCCCTGGTCAGGACTCATGCAGGAGACAACCAATTGATGTGTTTCTCTCACATTGATATTTCTGTCTTTCCTTCTCTTCCACTCTCCCTAAAAACCAATGGAAAAATAGCCTCAGGTGAGGATTAATAAAGAAAAGAAAAAGGCATTGCAGTAAGTTAAATAAAGGGTGCTTTTTCTGAATGTTCATCCATAAGTCTTGCAGACACTGGCTTCTGGGACCTGTGGTTACACACAGTCTCAGGGCCTCCACTACTATTTCCTGTAGCTGAGGTTATTGGCCAGGAAAATAATCTAATGGTTTTGTGGATTCCCCTGGAATCTGGGGTTTTCACCTCAAGGTTGTTGCTCTAAAAGCAAGAAAGCAAAGCTAGAAAGATGCTCTTCCTTTAGTCAGTCGCAGATGTGTCCTTTGTAACCAGTCAGCATTCCTGTTGACTCAGATGGCAACAGTCTTCACTGCTTGCTAGTACTTGCTGCCACTGAGGAGAGAGATGGTAGAGTCCATGTAGGCTTGCCAACCTACATTTCTAAGAAAAGACAGATATCTAGGCCTTCATTTGGAGCCAGTTTTTAAAGTTTTAAAGTGTATATGTGTTATTCACATTCAACAAAGTGCATTTATCTAATGTGTGCTGTTTGGTGCGCTGTGACATATCTGTCACCTACAGGTGGGGTGAAAACAGGCTTACAGTTGCGAGTGAAACCGTTTCTTCTTGTATTTTCTTTAAAATATTTTATTGATTTTTTTACAGAGAGGAAGGGAGAGGGATACAGAGCTAGAAACATTGATGAGAGAGAAACACCGACCAGCTGCCTCCTGCACACCCCCCACTGGGGATGTGCCCGCAACCAAGGTACACGCCCTTGACCGGAATCGAACCTGGGACGCTTCAGTCCGCAGGCCGACGCTCTATCCACTGAGCCAAACCGATCAGGGCTCTTGTATTGTTTTTTATTATAATACTAGTGACCCGGCGCACGAAATCGCGCTAGACCCGGTACCCCGGGGCTCCTCGATGGGTTCCTCCAAAGAGGTAGGTTGGAGCCGCGGGCCCCCCAGGCTTCTTCCTCTGCTTCCTCCTCCTCCTCTTCCTCCTCCTCCTCCTCACATTCTCCTTCACCTCCTCCTTGTCATCTTCCACTATGATAATGGCCTCTTCCTTCCCCTGTAGACCGGCTAACACCTGGTACTCCCATCCCCCTATGCTACAGGTATCTAGGGCCTCTCCACCAAAGCCGGTCGTCTGGTTGGGTAAGACCAAGGTGACGCCCGAAGCAGTCACTGATAAGGGCTGACCCTGACCTACGAGAGGGAAACAGTTACAGGCCTATGTTGGTCTTCTGGGGTATTGGCGAGTGTTCATTCCCCACCTGGTGCAGTTGTGGCGGCCATTGTACCAGTTGTCCAGTAGGAGGCGACATGGGACCGGATTCCCGAAGTGGAGGAGGCCTTTCCAGCTGCCTGGCAGGTTGGAGACCTGACCCAACCATTCCAGTTGGATGTGACAGCTACTCCCTCGGGGTCTGGTTGGGGTCTGTGGCAACAGCATGGGCGGACAAGGGTGCCGTGGGGTTCTGGTCCCAGCTGTGGGAGGGGCCGAGAGTCGGGGGGGGGGGGGCTCCCACACTGAGAAGCAGGCAGCAGCCACTTGCAGGCCTGAGGCAATCACGGCACAAAGCAAGGTGCTGGTGAAGACTGCCTCTCCTGTAGCCGGTTGGCTTAGGTCCTGGGTGACCAGGCCCAAGTCTGTCATAGGATTGGCAAACCCTGTGGGGTCCAGTGGCAATTGAGACCCTGTCAAGGGATGAAACCCCTGCCCTCGATGGTATGGCTCAGTGGATAGGTTGGCCTGCGGACTGAAGGGTCCCAGGTTTGATTTCAGCCAAGGGCGCAGGCCCAGGTTGCAGGCTCAATCCCCAGTAGGGGGAGTGCAGGAGGCAGCCAATCGATGATTCTCTCTTATCATTGATGTTTCTCTCTCTCCCTCTCCTTTCTTCTCTGAAACCAACAAAAATATTTTTTTAAAAAAATGCCATAGCCCTGGCCGGTTTGGCTTGGTGGATAGAGCGTCGGCTTGCGGACTGAAGGGTCCTGGGTTCGATTCCAGTCAAGGGCATGTACCTTGGTTGCAGGCACATCCCCAGTCGGGGGTGTGCAGGAGGCAGCTGATCGATGTTTCTCCCTCATTGATGTTTCTAACTATCTCCCTTCCTCTCTGTAAAAAAATCAATAAAATATTTATTTAACCGTTTGAGTCCCAAGCAGCGCGATTGCGCTGCTGAGATTTTATGTCGAGAAAACATACGATTCGTTTGAGTCCCAGGGGGTATTGAAAAAACACTGTCGAAGAATCCCAAACAGCGCAACCGCGCTTTCTCTAAATGAGTACGAAAAGACCCAAACAGCATCATAGTGCTTGTTTTATTTTATGTCGAGAAATACCAAGCAGCGCGATCGCATGCTTGGGACTCAAACGGTTAAAAAAAAAAAAAACCGCCATAGGAGTTTCTATGGAGGAAGTACTCCCTAGTCCAGTGATGGTGAACCTTTTGAGCTCAGCGTGTCAGCATTTTCAAAAACCCTAACTTAACTCTGGTGCCGTGTCACATGTAGAAATTTTTTGATATTTGCAACCATAGTAAAAGAAAAACTTATATTTTTGATATTTATTTTATATATTTAAATGCCAAAAATTTGAGGAAAAAACAATTTTCCTCCCAGTATTAAAAAAAAATAATTGTGCCGTATGCAATGAAACGAAGTTATGTCACCGAAGGATGAATAAAAT